CCCTAAACCTCAAACCTCAAACCGAAAGATCAAGCAACGCTTACAGTACGGGGACCCGGCCGACCCCACGAAGAAGTACGGGCTCAGTTGTGTTTCCGCGGACCATTCCGGTTTAGGGTTTAGGGATACATGTCATGTCTGTTTACCATAAAGTTTGGGGGGTTAAGGTTTGGGGTTTTGGGCATGGCAACATGTTCACTAAGGAGGTTGCGTCGTGGACAGCTAAGTAGTCTATGTACCTATATAGTAGCATATACTTACACAGGTACTTCAAGGCTTGAATCGCTACTGTTCAGATGCATGGACCCCGTGGCCAAGTGACGAGGCGGGATGTCGCCCCCCTGGCACCGGAGTCCGGTGGAACAAAGTTCACATCCTGTGGCTCCCCGAAAGTAGCCAGATTTGCAGATGCATTCGCTCCGCCTTGAAGGGTTTAGGATTTCGGGTTTAGGGGTTTCTCCAATTTCCTAGGAGAACTAACGTTAACCGTATTGGGATTCTAGAGGGTTTTACTAACCCAAAACTGAAAGGTTACTTGCTCAACTAAGCTGCTCGGTGGCACCACGGATGTTTGTTGTTTGCGAAATGTCGCATACCTCGCAGGAACTGGATGAGGCTGCTGGCTGGAACTGGCCCTGTGCACAATCATTGCACAATGTCGAGCCAGTGTCATTGGCAAACGTACCTGGGAGCTTTTCAGACAAGAACTGGATTCTTCTTGAGGCGGTTCGTTCAAGCTACCGCAATTAGGATCTGTAGTACATACTTTAGAGTTGCCTTATGCTGGCAACTTGAAGTAGTAACCGTTCATTAACAAGAACCCAGACAAGGGACCAGAAATTCAACCCGAAACACTGCCATCCTCACTACGTGCGACCTATATCCTCAGCCCCAAACCCTGAAGAAGGTGTCCGAAATGTGACGAAATCCCCTAAACCCTAAACCCTAAACCCTAAACCTTAAATCCTAAACCCTAAACCCTAAACCTTAAATCCTAAACCCTAAACCCTGGATCCCCCCACCTGGAGAGCATGGATTGCACGTCACGGTCCCATATGAGCTTTGCCAGTATCCTGGTGAACACGACTGGCATTGGGCAGTCTCTTCATAGTCGTAAAACGGAGCCTTGGCTGACTTCTGAACCCCTCCTAAAAGTTAAACTTTTAGCTCCCTTATTATAGTTCATATAGAAACCCCAAAAATTAAAGCCCTAAACCCTAAACCCTAAACCCCAAAAATTAAAGCCCTAAACCCTAACCAAGGAGCTGAATAACTTCCCGGTGGACAGGGTCGACATGTAGTGGCATTCTCGCGGGAACTGACGAAAGTCCCGGCGCCAAACAAGCCTAGGTTTAGGGTTTAGGGTTTAGGGTTTAGGGTTTAGGGTTTGGGGTTTAGGGTTTAGGGTTTAGGGTTTAGGGTTTAGGGTTTAGGGTTTAGGTTTGGACTTGTAGGGCTCCTTACACTACTTATGAAAAAAAATACCTCGATAAAAGCACAAGGACCTGAAACCCGGAGCTGCTAAACCCTAAACCCTAAACCTCTTAATCCTGAACCCCGAAATCCTAAACTCTAAACCCGGAAACCGCATCGCCTAAACCCTAAACCCTCAACCCCTTGAACCCAAACAAAACACACCCCAAATCAACAAGTGTCCCAAAGCACCTAGTAGCCGTGGCCAGGGAAGCAGCTCGTAACAGCGGGTACCCATGCTTTCCACACGTCTGTGTTGTTCTGAAGCCACTCCTTCCGCTGGGGTTGCATGGCTTCGGGTTTGGGTCGCTTCTTCTATGACCGGGCCTACAAATTTCAACCCTAAACCCTAAACCCTAAACCCTAAACCTTCAGTTTATCTTACGAAATTCCAAATACACAGGCTACAAGTGTGAAGCTCCCCCATTGGCCATCTAAGCCTGTCGAGAAAGCTGTTAACCCTCACGACAACCCCTACTTGGAGGTTCATGGGCAGTTATAAGTGGAGTTAAAGTCCCCAAATATAGCTTATAACTATAGTTACCCTACTTATAACCACCCATGAACCTCCGAGTACACCCTATACCTCAGTGCCTTCGAAGATTGAAGACCCCGCGGAGGTATGCGAACGTAGTTCGATAGGATTACCCTATAGTAGCTGCATAGTGCCGACCGTGCAGAGCCTGTACAAAGGATGCTTGCCACAAAGACGGCTTTAAATGAGACACATAAACTCCCTAAACCCTAAACCCTTAACCCTAACATCCCCAAATCCTGCCATTGCTGCCTGGCTTCGCATGCCAAGCCTTGCCACGTAGCTTGGCCCTGCTCCACTCGGCCGGACATCCCGATGGATACGTACTCATAGTCCTCTGTGAGGGTTTAGGGTTTAGGGTTCGAGGTCTATTGGGCAGTGAATGTTTGGGGTTTAGACCTACCTTAACCTACCCCTTTTTTAGTAGGGTCCATAGAAATTCCTTATTAGGGTTTATAATAAGAACCTACAAAAACGTAGGGTTTGGTAGTTTAAGGTTTTGTCTCCTTTTTGTTCCTGTTTTGGGTTTAACTAAGTCTATATTTAGGATCCTATAAGGTAACCCCAAAAGAGGAACTACAATGGAGACTGGACGTAGGGTTGCGGGAGTAGTCTGGGTCTGGGCCCGGGCTTAAGGATGATCCAGGGTTGCGAACACGGTCCTCTCCATAAAACCTCATCCGCCGAAGAAGTTCTTGAACATCTGGTGCCCATTCCCCAAGATCCTGGGTTCTCAAGTATGGGTGGTTCAATATGTTCGGACACCTTCGAGGGTCCTTTTTGCAAGGCTGCCGTATGATTTTGAAAATTGAGGACCTAAAAAGGATCCCAATATAGATAACTACCCATATCTGTGAAGATACACCACTGGAACACTGGAAGCATTTGAAGAACATTTGAAGGGTGTTGTCTTGTAGAAGTATGAAGCCCTTCAAAATCAAACTGGTGCTAATCCAACAAAGGATCTTTGTGTGAAAGCCGTGAAGTTGACCAGGGGGCGGACATGCTGGATGCTAGTCCCCTCTGCCAGTCTCTGGGACCTCTCATGACTTTAGGGCGGCTTGGCCGCCGACAGCAAGGATAACAACGGTAACTCAAACCGACCAAGACGAAGAACGCTCAACAAGGCAACCAACTATCCACCCGAACGCGTCGAAGACACTGTGGCGTGGAAAAACAATTGGCGCTGAGACCAGTGGAATGGTATTTTGAAGGTCTGGATGTTGTCTCAGAGTCACCACATCATGCGTCAAGGGGAGACGGTAGTAGGGACCGCTGACAGAGTTGAAGTCAGCCAGTGCTGCCCCGATTGCCAAGGGCATTTCCCAGATTGTGGCTTTCTGCATGACTTCTTCAATATGCCAGGGAAAGCCAAACCAGTCATAGAGCAGGCACGGAATGCATTCCTTCGTCTCTGAGAAGCCAAGTGGCTCAGCAGCTATCAAGAACGGCATCAACTACAACATGTGAGGCGAAACTCAGCCTGAGACCTTGCGACAGGACTGTAGCGTGTAATCAGTCTTGAAGCCCTAATGCGTTTACGGGTGCCCATAGTTTCGGGGTTCTAGTTTCGGATCGGCTGCCGGGGGTTTCGGATCAGAGGCAAACAGTTTCGGCGCCCAGTTTCGACACAGCAGGAGTCAGTTGTCTGTCAGTTTCGGGGCGATATGGCCGGTTTCAGTCCGATTCTTGTAGGCCTGGGCCTCAAACTGACCATGGCGTGACACAGACCTGACCATGTCCTGATCCGAAGCTGTAAGGGACCATGTTCCGAAACTCCGCCCCGAAACTCAGCACAGACACTAACCTGGAAAACCCTGAAACTCACAACTTCCATGCTCCCACACTCCTACATCCATGTTACCGTTACCGACAGGGCTCTGTTGAATTCTCACGGCATGTGGGAGCCAACCACCACCGGCTTTCGTGGCATCGCGGCCTGATGGTTTGGGTCCCACCCTCAGCCTCCACTGTAACGCCATCTGCGTCTCCAGTGATCTGCAGATATGCTTCCATTCTGTTCGAAAACTCAGGCCAAAGGACCCAGGTGGCACACGGTGCGAGATCTGAATCATTGACATCTTGAATCTTGTGAAAGTAGGGCAGAATTGCCGCTTTGTTGCGGACATGATAAGAACGAAAATACTCTAAGGCCAAACCGGTCTCCTTTAGAACCTTATCAGCCAACCTCTGCGAGATGCTCAAGCCTTCATAAATGGGATTTCCGATGTCGGCCTGTACATCCATAATACCACCAACCCGAAGTCTCTGTACCTTCGCCAGTACCTGGGGGTTTAGGGTTTAGGGGTTTAGGGGTTTAGGGGTTTAGGGGTTTAGGGTGTAGGGGTGTAGGGGTTTAGGGGGTTGTAGTTTACGTGCATCAAAAGCAAGCATCTATGAACAGGTACCTTCAAGCAATGCAGGAAACTAAAAAGCGTCGCCAAGTGTCACCCAAGTACTTCTTCGTTGCCTGGCAAATAGGCACCACTCAATGCGACGTGCGTTCTGGAGACTTGCCCCCCGCATTGCCATTCCGTCAAATTTTGCTCGCATCCAGCGACTAAGTAGAAGGGCTCACTCGCGGCAAACGTAGACACACCAGAAATGTCATTCATCCATACGTTGTAGCCGAGCACCTCTGCGGCCAGAATTTCCAAGGCCAGGGTGGGCCAGTTTGCAGGATCAAAGAGCAGGATGCCGAGCGGAAAAACGCCTGCATTGCTCTGCAGGTCTTTTCGTCTGTTTGGCGGGACTGCCTCCGGTAGGCAGTCTGCCCGGAGAGTTGAGACATAAGCCTTTGCTGCGCGGTCAAAGCCCCCAAACAAACCCTAAACCTCCTAAACAAGTAAAGCTCGAAACTCGAAACCCTCAACCCGAAAACTAACCCCAAACCCTAAACCTCTGAACCCTAAGCCCTAAAACCCCTAAACCCCCGAACCCCAACAAACGCTGAAACCCAGAGAAGACTTGGGCCCTGAGACGAACGAAAGACTTCCCAAGCTTTCCTTGATTTTGGGGTTTAGGGTTTAGGGTTTAGGGTTTAGGGTTGTGGGCCTCCACTACCCTACTTGGAGGTTCATGGGTAGTTAAAAGTGGAGTTATAAGTCCCCTAATATAGGTTATATCTATAGTTACCCCTACTTATAACTTTACTTATAACTACCCATGAACCTCCAAGTAAGGGTCCATGTACCCATGAGGCTTCCTGTAAGGGTAAGGATTCCTATGAGGGTACCATAAGGGTTTACGGTTTAAGTGTCCATGCACCCAAACAGCATACACGTTCGCCTTAAAGTAGTCCCTATATCGGTACTCTGGGGGGCAGGGTATATACTATTTGGGCACTTGGAGCCTTGTATAGGGTTATGGCTACCCTGGGATGTATCACCCCTAACACAAGTCTCTGATGGAGACTGTCTTCATCAACCATCTACATGAAAACGGTGAGTAAGACGTGCAAGCTGCGCATGCCAAAGTCGCTAACTTCATCCATCTGTTCACGGGCAGCACTGACATCCCTATGTACGATAGCAGGTAAAGTGTACCATCTATAACGATATGGCGGTATGCATAACTGTGACTCGTGCGTACATTGTACATGCGGAGGCTTTCTGCTGGATATGAAGGATCATACCAGTTGTCCCTGAGCACAAATATGCCCGAGCGACAACATCATGGTGGCACGGGGCGTAGACGAGAGCCCAAGTTAAAACTAAGGGTTCATAGTCCGTCTATGAAACTAAAGCTCCCTAGACCCGAAACCCTCAACCCTAAACCGTCTTGAAACCCGAATGCTGACTTCACATCTCGAGGCCCAAGATACTTTGACCGTGAATCTTGCGAATTTGTGCAATGCTTCGTGGCAAAATCAGGTGCATCAACGGGCCTTGGAGAGTAAGTTTCATGTTCTAAACCCTAAACCCTATGTTCAGGAGGTCTCAAGATGTGGATTTGAGGGCTTTGGATTTGGATATGGATGCTTTGGGGCTAGCGCTGCCAATCCTGGTGCACCTGAATATCCCTACATCCGAGTATCAATGGCCTGGTATATGTGTGTTTGTACCTAGGTATGTATGTATACGTATGTATGTATACGTATGTATGTGTGCATGTAAGTATGTATATCTGCATGTATGCAGCTATGTAAAGACTTTAAAAGCGTAACATGTACACATATAATATGTATGTGTATGGTCATCCTCCCTCAAGAATAAAAAGCCCCCCCTCTGAGACTTACGACAATACGATGTACCGGACATGCTGAAAATGCTGAAGGTAAGGCTTTCATCCAGAACCGTCTCATCGCAAGTCTTGAAGCACTTTACAAGGGCTAATTTGCAAGGTTTAGGTTTAGGGTTTAGGGTTTAGGGTTTAGGGTTTAGGGTTTCAGGAACCCCGAGCAGCCCAAGCGAACTCCAACCTCGAACCACAGACTGGGCAGGAAGCAGCCAAAGCATTCTGAAACTCGGCAACGCCACACTGCAGGGCAAACCCCAGTACCCTGAACCCTAAACGGAGCACCGCAAGCAGACGCCAGAGTGGGGGAAAGAGGCAAAAGCGGTGTGGAGGGGGAGGGGGAGGGGGGGTGGGGGTGGCGGCCTAACCCGTGTATAGTACACTATCTATTGTATCCATCTCTCTGTCTATCTCCTCTCCGTCTTATAATCCGCTAAGAAACTTCGATAGAGTAACCCATATATGTAGTTTTTTTATATATAGACATATATATATATATATATGTGTATGCATGTACATTTACAGGCTCCTAAACCCTAAGCCCTAAACTCTAAACCGCATAGGTCTAAAGCTCAAAGCCTGCTCCTCCAATTGCGCTCGATCGTGGCGGTCGGGATTTTGGGAGGGCCGAGGTCTCGGACTAAGGGTTACGGATTAGGGCTTAGGGTTTAGGGTTTAAGGTTTAGGGTTTAGGGTTTTAGGAATTTCATGGTTTGGGCTGAGGGCTTATCCTGTGAATATTCAGGCTTGGGGCTTAGGGTTTCATTTTTGACGAGTGTTGACAAGCACTGTCGCACTAGCCTGCTGTCGGTTTTGGGGTTTTGGGTTTAGGTGCGTGTTCGTTCGAACGTTACGGAAGGACATGACTGATCATGCCGGTCCTTATGGTACCCTCTATGAAGGACTGCAAAGCTCGTCTGTTCTATCCTAAACTGGGGTTTAGGGGTTCAGGCAAATTCCTGCAACAGCACCACCACGAGCCTCTCGGCAAGCTGCCATCTCTGCAGCGCCTCTGCATCTTAAGTTTGGGCCTCCTACCGGGCTCGGGGCCAGGGATTTACGGAGTAGTGAATGCTTATAGTCTCCGTTGTAGTTCGTTAAACCAAACAAAGGAACCACAATGGAGACATAGGTAGTGTATGCTGATGATTTGGGGTTTCGGGCTTCGGGTTTTGGAGTTTAGCGTAGTTTGGTGGCTCAACAGGAAATCTAACTCGACTGGCAGCGACACCGCATTTCAACTACTTAGAGAAGTAACGAGGCTCCCGAAAGAGTCAAGGCAGCCCCGTCACGGTGCAGGGTCTAGGGTTTAGGGTTCAGAGCCTCAGCCAACATGCATCCCGGGACTCAGGAGCACGGCCAAGATGTTGGCCTCCAAGTACTGGCGGGATTCAGAGACAACAGACCCCTGCGCATGCCGATACAAACATGATGCGAAAACTGTGAGCAACCATGTGGGCAGACTCACCACAAACAGAAGCGGCAAGTCACTCGCAAAAGCCTAGGCCCTAAACCCTAAACCGAGAGAGACTGACTACGCTCCAACGAGGTCCCGGTGACTTGTACAAAAAGAGTCCTACAGATGCTCACAACAATCCAGTAGTCTAGGCACTTCTACGGAAACTCCAAAGCTATTTTATACAGTAGTGAAATTAGAGAACGGAAAACTCAAAATAATATGGGGACCTATGTAAGCCCCTATTGTTGCTTCCGCTCCTGCCCAGAACCTGCTCCGCAGACCGAACTCCAATGGACCGTAAACCCTAAACTAAACCCTAACACCCTAAAGCCCTAAACTCTTAATCCCTGAAACCGAAAGCCCTAACACCCTAAACTCTTAAACCCTAAACCCTAAAACCCTAAATCCTTAAACCCTAAAAAAACCAAAAGACTCTTCAACCCCAAACCCAAAAACATAATCGCCTGAATCCTAAACCCTACAAAGCCCTGGCCTCTCGCTGGGCATCGTTCCAGTAGTGGAAAGTGAAATAGTCGGGCTCGCCCTTGCCAACTTGAGTGTTCAGGGAATAGGGTTTAGAGTTGCTTCTTCAGGATTGTAGGGTTTAGAGTTTAGGGTTCAGGCTTTGAACCCTACACATCCTAAGCTCTATACCACCCTAAACCCTAAACCCTAGACCCTAAGCTCTTTACCACAAGCCCTAAGCCTCGCAGGGCTGGGGGTCCAACGAGGCTCAGGCTCAAGCGTCGGGCGTGCAGTTGGGTCTTTAGGGTGTACGGCTTAGGGCTTTTAGGGTTTCTGGTTTAGGGCTTTAGGGTTTTAGGGTTTAGGGCTTTAGGCTTTAGGGTTTCTGGTTTAGGGCTTCAGGGTTTTAGGGTTTAGGGTTTAGGGTTTTAGGTTTTAAGGGTTTAGGGTTCTTAATATAGGGGCCGTAATAATTAGAATAGGGTTCCTTTACAGGGTTCCTTGAGAGGGATACTATAAAGGTTACTATAAGGGCTCTACAATATATAGGGGCCTGAAAAATAGCATAGGGTTTTGGTGATATTATACTATAATCATAATAAGGAACACCAAAATGGTATAGGTAATTATGGAGGCCCGTATAGTAACCTAGACCTTACACTAACCAACTAAGGGATAAACCCTAAACCCTAAACCCTAAAACCCTAAACCCTAAAACCCTAAACCCTAAAACCCTAAAACCTAAACCGTGGATAAACTAGGAACCTGATTAAGAAACCCTGGATCTCTATTCGGGTTCTTTGTATGAGCGTAATATTTTGGAGGGTTCAGGGTTTCGGGGTTTAGGGTTTAGGGGTTTAGGGGTTTAGGGTTTAGGGGTCTAGGGGTTTAGGGGTTTAGGGGTTTAGGGGTTTAGGGGCTTAGGGTTTAGGGTATAGAGGTTGGAGTTTAGGGTCAGGTTCCTGCATGTAGCAGATACCGGCATCAGGAGGCCAGGTTGCTCTTTTCCTTCAGCCTGTTGCGATCTAATGTAGGACGACATCGCACCATAGGTTAATCAGGGTTTAGGGTTCAGGGTTTAGGGTGCGCACAAAAAAGACTAACTGCATATTGAGGCGCCAAAATACGTGCAGGCTTGTGTAGATATACTGAGCTACCAGTAACCCCGTTGCACACGTTCCCTAAGTGCCCAGCGACGTGGGTGAATAACCTCTGTAAACGAAAAACTGGCATCGAAAAGACTGCTAATGCAGCCAAAACCCGGAACCCCAAACTGGAAATAACATCTGGAGCCAGGGCGGATTTCGTGCTGCCCCAGGCAATCCCATGGTGTATCCCGAATCCCAGCCATGGAATGTAATAAGGGGCCTTCAAAATTAGAATAGGGTGAGGGGTATATTTTACTATAACAAAACTAAGGAACCCCCAAAATAATCTTGGTAACTATACAGGCCCCTATATTACTGCCATTTTCTTGGTTACCCAGTTTTCTTCTTGCAAGAGCCTGACCCTACCATCCTACAGCCTAAACCATAAACTCCCGAATCCCTAAACCTTAAACTCCCCAAACCCTAAACCTGAAACTCCCTAATCCCTAGACCTTAAACTCCCTAAACCCCGAACCCTGAACCTTAA